GCACCCTGTATGTGCCAATTGTGCGATTATTAATTATGCGAATTTTTGTGAACATTTTTTATATAATACAATCCCATAAAATTCTAAGATACCAACGACATCGGAAAATCGCAATCTATGCTATCATTGTGAAAAGAAATATTGCAAATGCTGAAGATTTTGTACAAATTTTAGGAGACCTGTCGCCGAAGTCACGAGCATTTCATCGATCTCATTTCGGAGCGAACTTTTTGCGCCGGTGCGCAAGATCTCGGAGGTCCTTGCTACGCCGACAGTGGGAGTGCGTTAACGATCTATGACAATAAGACTAACCGCTTTCTGTTACGCGGCATTGTTTCGAGGACGTTACCTAGTGAGGATGACTATGTATCGTGCTATCAACAAAATTACGTTGTTTATGTCGACGTGGCTCAATATATACCTTGGATTGAACAGCAGATCTCCACCACGTAACGCTAGTCTCCTAACACCCTGTCTTGGCTTTTGCTTTTTTATTTATTCGTATCTACAATTTCACATTAGAGCCATATGACTTTATTAATTGCTTAATATAAATGTATATCATTAATTGCTGGTGAAGAACTAGTTATTTATTAATTATAACGGTAATTTCTCCTTAAATATATATTTACTTGACGACAAGTGTTTAAATAACATTTATTCAAAATCTTGCGAGAAGTGAAAATTAAGTGTACAAATTTTATATTATAAATATAAAGCATTTTATATTATAAATATAAAGCATTATGAAAAGTATAAAAAATATTGCCGGCAACTCTGCTTATGTGATTATTAAATATATATTTAGCGTACCGCCAAGCCAACCGGTAACTACGACGACTCCGCTTCCAGTGCCAACACTGAACACTAAACGCCCATCACACTCTACCATCGCTACTCCAACATACGAAATAGACATTCCACATTATAATGAAACAGACCAATGCGGTCGGGCGGGTTACGTCAATCAACTGGTTACTAGAGGAGAATCGACAAATCCGGCAGAATGGCCGTGGTTAGTGGCCCTCTTCGTTCTAAGACCAAACCTCAAGTACCAGTGTGCTGGCACCGTTCTGACAACTAGACATGTTATAACAGGTACTGTAAAAAATCGAAGAATTAAATTTTATATTATTATTATCTTCTCCGTCTATCGAATAATATAAGTATTTGCATTATATATACTTTCTTTCTTGAATTGTAAGAGATTTATTTGCTTATTTATAGTCACATAAATTAAATTACGATTTTATTTTCCATAGGCATTCAAAATTAATCATTGGATTCAGATCATATTTCTTACTATCTTTTCCTTAATAATCCAGGATATCCCGAGATATTGAAGAACGTTCTTCACACGCGCCAAGTATTGTTATAAATATTATATAGAAATTCTTATTACCCTTATTATGATGTTCTTAGAATAACTTTTAGGCTGATATTTGAATGACAACTGTTCTTTCTCTGAACATGCAAACAATGCTAAGATTAAATTCAGATGTTCGTAGAATATTTATTATTCATCCTATATTTTCTTTGTTGTTATAAGACGTCTTGAATACTTGTCCGTTGATCTAGATGGAAATAATATTTTCAGACAATCGTTAGACTGTACATCTCGAAACTAGTGCTTAAAAATATTTACTATTTAGTTTTTTATGTTGTCCAAAAATGTGGAATATTAGAACATATATTTTATACAAATATCTTATTTTTGCAGCCGCAAATTGCATGAAGTGGAATGATACGACCAACGATACAATTCCTGCCAATATATTAGAGGTTGCCTTAGGACGATTTAATATACGCCAGTGGCGTGAGGGGGGTTCTGTTAATCGGGAAATCTATAACTACACGATCCATCCCGATTATGCGCACACGATCACTGGCGACTCTGATCTAGCAATTTTGACCCTCGTGGAGCCTGTCGAGTTTAGCCCTTTTATTAAACCTGTTTGCCTGTGGCCTGGTTCAGACACTCTTCGGAATGTTATCGATAAATTAGGATACGTTGTGGGGTGGGGAAAAGATGAGCATGGTAATTATCCCGACACCCCACGGATGGTGAAAGTGCCGATAGTAAGCCAGGTAAGAACCTTCACTAATAATAAGTCAGGTATTTGCTTTTCATGACTTTGGCTGTTCGATCGAGACTAGAGTTGAATTTTAATAGTAGACTATGTTGTCTAGCCAGAAAATGTCCAAAATATGAAGATACCCCATTTAGAACAAATAATTATATCGTGAAAGGGAAACGCTTAGAGACTTTTGCATTGTTAACGACAGGCGACTCTCCATTTGATTTCACTATATGTATAATTACATAATTGCTATTATAACAGGAAGATTATAATACTGACAACATTTGCTGTATATACTTTCACAATCTCCAAATTAATTTCCAAATGAATCAAATCATTGCACGCTCCTTGAGTAGGATTAATATATGTGCCAATTGTTAAGTGCGATTGTTAATTATGCGAATTTTTTTTGAACATTTTTTATGTAATACAATCTCATAAAATTCTAAGATACCAACGACATCGGAAAATCGTACAATCGATGCTATTATTGTGAAAAGAAATATTGTAAATGCTGAAGATTTTGTGCAAATTGTAGGCGACCTGTCTCCGGAGTCACAAGCATTTCTTCGATCTCACTTCGGATCGAACTTTTTGCGCCGGTGCGCGAGATCTCAGAGGTCCTTGCAACGGCGACAGTGGGAGTGCGTTAACGATCTATGACAATAAGACTAACCGCTTTCTGTTACGCGGCATTGTTTCGAGGACGATACCTAGTGAGGATGACTATGTATCGTGCGATCAACAAAATTACGTTGTTTATGTCGACGTGGCCAAATATAAAACCTGGATTATAGAGCAGATCTCCACCACGTAACCCTAGTTTCATGCAGAACTCCAAATGGTTTAATAGATATACTTTTTATATAAATTCTATCTAAATTACTACACCATATTATCATAGGTACCTACATAAGAATTAAAGTTCCGAATTTTACTTTGATCTTTTTACGGTGAATCTTGTTACCGTAATGCATTTATTACAATGATAAAATGTATAAGTGGATATAAATATAGGTAACTAAAAAATAGGTCTGTTTTCTAGACTTATTATAAGTGGACTTATTACAAATTCGAGATAATTCGTATTATACAGGGTGAGGCAATAACTTTGTCCACCTTGAATATCTCCCCTATTATAATTACGAAAGTTATACTATATCAAGGGAGCCATAGCATGTTAGTAATATTTTTTCAAAAAGTGGAGGCGCTTCGGAGGTTTCAAGGTCAACTCTATTTTTTTTAACCCCCTATTGTTTATCATACTACCGTATTCTATTTATCATTTTTTATTTATATATTATAAATAACAGTAAGACGAGAATGAAAAAAGGAAGAAATGTATATCGTAGGTCACACAGAAATCGTTTCGTGACAGGATCACAGTTTAATATACTGTTCACGTCCGTAACGAATTTTTATAGCGTTCCCGATCACGAGATTTTAATTCGCACTATCGACGTACGCACTCATACGCTTTAATAGAAGTCATTTACGATTGCGCACGTACACATAGGTTCAAGTAATACTTTTTATATGTTTTACGTGTATTTTCAACTGTATGCCGGCGACAGTACGATCGAATCAGGTCTTGATACGGAGAATATGTGGCTTTATTGCGGCATACTGATTCATCTGTTTGGATTTCTACTCGCAAGATCGTTCGACGATGCCGAGAGACATACCTCACCTTTGGAGAGAAAATTAACGTTGAAATTGAAAACGGCGGCACGACTGAAGCACAATCTCGGGAAAATTCTTCACGAGTTGCCAGTAAGTTTCGTTTCCAAAGAAACAGAACGTAAGTCATCTTTTACGCGAATAGCCTGGAAGAGGATCGCGAGTCTAAAGATATATTTTCGAGATAAATCAACAGTGAAAATTTCTATACATTCCAGCCAGTAGTAAAAGCGAATGGTCTTATAGTACGTATTTCGATCATTTTTATCTAATGTAAGTAATGTCAGCTTTTACTGTTTTTAAATAATGGCGTTCGAAAGCTCGAGTAAGACATACTTCATTCTGGCAACGTCAAAATTTACACGACACACTCGCTACCCATTAATTTTTTCGCTATAGATACAAAGTTACGAGATGCATCACTCCATAAAGATCATCGAGGATTATTTGAAAAACGGCGGTTCGTTGCTCGAGTGTCTCGACGTCTTACCTTCAGTAACATACGCACCTATCGTAGAGCAGATAGACAGTATCTTTGGATCCATGGAGGACCGCTTGCCCAAGTACCTCCTGCCAGCGGTATCCTTGATACGGCGATCGCTGTCGGAGGGCCTTCTGGATGCCAACGAGATCTACAGACCCACTTTCGGGCCGCTGAAGGCCGACCCATTGGAGAAGATCCCTCTGAGAGAGTTGAAGGAAGCTGCCTCGCCTCTGACCTATCGCGCGCCAGTCAAGAGTATCAAAGGCCCCTGGCCGAAGATTGTCGGTGAGACGGCGACGTTAATCCACGACGAGAACATCCCTCCGCGTTCTGAAATGATTGCGTACATGTTAGCAAATCTGCGGATACCCGACGCGACAGCGGAAGTGAGAGAATCGATCGTGCTCCTCGTCGAATATCTAAGATCGCACGGCAAGCACAAATTGACGGGCTTCAGTCTATCCTCCGATCCGTACGCACTGGTCGCCAATGCCGTCTCGAGTCTGTCCCTGCAAAACGACACGCTGATAGCCGCCAACGTGTTGCTGCCGTTCTTGCGACGACCCTCTGAGTGTCGAGGATCCGCCGAGTTCGCCAACTTCTTTCAGAACGACACTCTTAATTACACTCTACTGATATCTCGAGACAGGACGGTCTCTAGATCGAGAGACGGTATCGCATTTCTTGCCATGATTCAGCAGAAGAGTACGGATGTATCGGATATCATAGAACGATTTTCCCCCTTTGAATATGCGTCCTGGAAAGATCTGTTGCTGGCTTTCGTCGGCCAACTCAGGCGTCTACAGCCTCATCAGGGCAAATTATCGAACGTTGTAGACAGCGTCTACGGTGAGCTGATTCTGAGAAATAACCGAAAGCGTTGGCAACTTCTGAGGAACTCTATTATTGCCGCACCGGTTCTTTCTGCGATAGCTAGAAGAGAGAACTCCCTCAGGACTCGAAGACTACTCCTGGATGTGGCTGCGGACAGGACAATTAAACCGGAAGTCTGGCGGGAGGCACTTGCTTTCTCTTCTTCGGAGGACATCAGTGGGCCGATTAACGCCGCACTAAACACTCTGAAGGCTCTACTAGCTTCGGGTCTTCTTCCGAACGGCGTTCTATCGATGAATATCGCCGAGCTGATAACCATTTTCGAGACTAGGCTCGATCGAGGACAGGCTGACTGCTCCAGTCAATTAGAAACACACTTGGTTAATTTTACTCAAGTAGAAATGGAAACCGATGAAAAGAAGGCAATTGAGGACGTCGATGTCAAGGATCTTCTTCAGGCTTTGTCAGGTTTGGACATCTACACGGATGAATACAAAAACCTGAAGAGCTTTCTGTCGCAGAACGGCTTGGAGACGAAGATAGGACGAGTTGATCTAATTGCCCATCCCACCAGAGGTAGATTACTAGCGCAATTATTGCAGATGATAGAGCGTGCCGACAGTGTCGATAATAATCTACGACGTTTGGCTGAGCAGCTTGTCGACAACGTGGTCTATGAGGGTTACGGCTCTGGTGCTTTGTCGTATCGTTCTAATTAATTCGACAATGAGCACGATTTTGTACTCTCCTGATCGAGTAAATCTCACGACAAATTTCCGTCGATATCTCGTCCCGAACAAATAACGAATATTAATTTAGTTGAACGAATAAAAATTACAGACATTATTGTACCATATGATTCTATCTGATAAATTGTCGAAGAATTTTTTACCTATCGCTGTTGAGTAAAATGCGATCTAATTAGAACTATGCAATAAAATTGAAGAAAAAGTGTTAAAACCACTTCTAACGTTACAGCGATTGAAGAAATCGATATTAAAACGATATATTTTGTTAAATTGTAGTCGAGTGAAGAGAAAAGAAGTTAGAATTAATACAAGAATGCGATTATTGCAAGCGTTGGAAAATCTAATTCTGTCTTTATTACTTTGCTCCTCTTGTTGCTGTGTATTACAAATAATATTTAAGTCGTTGATTTCTTTTATAATATTCGCGACGATAGCGAGTCGGCACTCAAATCAAATGTGCGTCCACCAACATCTTAATTATCTTTTTTCTCAGGCAAAATCGTCTAGGAAAAGAGAACATTCCAGGCATACTTATTTTTTGTTTCTCTCGTTGCGTTTATCAAGGATATTTTGCATGCCACCTCGGACTAACCGACTGCATGACTAACTGACTGAATATAACTCAATTCATGATCACCTTGAATCTCGATACCCCACTATCGCACCATTCGAGCCAGTCTTCGACACAGAGCCTATAAACTTGTGTTCCGACGCGTTACGATAGAGACCTAATCAGTCATGTCAAGATTCGGTGAAGCTGTAATTCCAAGGATTAGCATGTTAAATATTTGGGACTGGTCACCGCAGCAAAGTTTAGTTGGTGGATTGGTTTATTGATAAGAAATAACGTTAGAGTCATGAAAAAGGAGGAAAGTAATGAACCGATAGCGACAGTAAGGAGATAATAATAAATCGAATAATAAAGGAAAAGCAGACAGTTACTCGCGAGAGTCGCGATGAATCTCATTGCAGTTTCAAAGTCGATAAATAAAGTAATGATCATACTCGCTAGAATCGGTGATACAATTGTTAAATGAACAAGGTGCAAGAGGAATATGTGCTCGTAGATTGCGCGAAATACTGATTCGCGTGTTAGTGTCCATTCGCCATATTGAATAATTTTTCTTTCGAATGTAATCTACTAGTAACGTAACAAACGCTTCTTCCGAAATTGCGTGAAACTTGAAGAACAAAATTCGTAAATATTAAGTACATTTAGAAACCATGTATTTTCTTAGTTTTGTAACAGAACCTTGTAAGATGTCCATCAAGATTTCTATCTTGATTACATTGCTATTTTCTACCATGGTATATGGTGATACACCTCCATGCTCGGAATACTTTACATATTCGGTCGATCCTAAGACAAACAATATATTTTTTTATGTATTATAAGTAATAACAAAGCGAGAATCATCAAGGAAATAAGTCGTTCACCGAAATCGCTTCGAACAGCTTCGATCACCCCTGATAGTACAAGTCTCAGTTATGTCTCAGTTATGTTGCAGTTATATTGCAAAGATATTGAAACGTCTTTGTAACATAACTGCAACATAACTGAGACTTATGTGCTATCAGGGACGGTTTAATGCTGCCTATGTCCGCCCAATCACAGAATCTTTGTACCATTCCCGATCGCGAGAATTTAATTCATACTATCAAACGTACGCACTCGTACGCTTTAATAAATTTAATTTCGCTGTGTGTATAATTACATAATTGCTACTATGACAAGAAGATTAAATAATGTAACGCGATCACAATTAATTATGAAATATGTATTAATGGGAAGTACATCTTCTATGTAGCTAAACACATATTCTGGATTCTACAACAGATTTATGCCAACGTTAGTTTATCGTAAAAAATATACTTGTTGACAGGTATTCATGTAACATTTTTAAAGCCACAGCAATTGCAAAAATTGAGAGTTACATTTACAAAGTTTATCTTCGTACGTCATGGCAATTCATCTTATCATAATGCATTATTATAATAGTAAAAAAATGAAGGGGATATAAATGTAAGTGTCTGTCATTATACTTTGATGGACTTATTATTAATGAAGAATAAATTACGTTAAGGTATGTTTATAAAAGATACACTCTAAGAACTATGGAATTCTTACCAGTGGTGTGGAATGAACACTCATACACGTGTTTATGTAATTCTCACCTTATCGATGTGAAATCAGCATTGCCTGGTTATTGTGGAAAATTCAAATTGTCAACGTGAACGATCCACAATGTGTATGTACTTACATATACGATACCTAAACGCTATAGCGATTGATTGTTCTATTATAGTTACGTGTGACGTCGTCACGGCGGTCACATCGCATGTCATAAAAATAAAACAATATAGCATCAAAGTTGACACCGCGTTTGTTGGTGTGAAAGATTTTCTACACTTTCGATGTTAACATTTACACCGAGTTATTTAACTACGTGGTGTAGTGAAAGATCACACCACTATTTTTTAGAGTTTATATTAATTGTATTTATAATTACTTAAATTTTTTCTGTTTAACATACATATATAAAAATATTATTTAACTTTGTAAAATGCCACCAATAACTTCAAGGAATAAGCACAGGAAGCCCTATGAAATCAAGTTTGTGAAGTTGTACAGTTTTATTGCTCTCTTGTACAATTTGAAAAATGGGACTTACGTGTTTTTGAACTCGTCGATTCAATTGAACTGATTGATCTTTTGTAGAATGATCGTAAAATGAAAATTGTAATCGTCGTAAATACAAAAATATTCGTATTAATGGGTATAAGTAAATGTAGCCAATGCACTGAAAGTGATAACATTATCTTGACCTCCTCATGACGTAACAACGTAGGTTAAGTTTCCAATCATTCAACCAACAAGGCTGTAGAGCAAAACAGCACTTAGTAAGAAATACAGTTCAGCAATTTTTGAACTCTAATTTATCGTGTTTTATCAAGAAAATAATTTTGCATTAATAAAAATTATCGTGGTCTAAACAAACTGTCTTGGTGAGAATAGCTTATAACATCTGTAATTGATTTTAAAACATAGATACACACGAAAGAGTAAGTACAACAATGCAGAAACTTACCAACCTGTATCGATAACATTTCAACATCCATTAAATACCTTTTTCTAATCTTTTTATCACAATTTAACGTATGACGAGTAAATATACAAATAGATATTATAAATTTCAATATCATATAATTTTATCGATTAACTTTTCGTCACTTTCTTAAGTTCACTTGATAAATAAATTTTCAGATTTTTTAAAATTTTGTTTGAGACGATCAAAAAGTTTCTTTTCAGATAGGAAATTCTATAAAACTTGCAATGATCACTTTGATTACTAGCTATTTTGAAACTGTGTTAAATATTAAGATTTATTTGTCAAAATTAAATATATTTGTAAACTATACATATATGTTTTGGTTTGTATAACAGGATTTCGCGACATGGCTAAGATTTTTATCTTGATTCCGTTGTTGCTGCAACTTTGTACGATAATACAAGGATATCCATGTTCTGAATATTATACACATACATTCGAACCTGAGACAAATAAACCAATGGGACAGATCGAGATCCCATCCCCGCCAAAAAATGGTCCATACGATTTAAAAATAGGCTTTAATACGAATCCTTCGATACATAAAGTAAGTCTTCTTTTTTAATATTACTATTATATTGTCAGTAACAGACTAGAAGTTTCTTCACACTATCAACTTTTTAAAATATAATTTAAGTCGTGTTCCGTTTCTACAAATAGTGCCTTAAAGAAATAAATAATTTTCGTCTAAAGAAGGAGGATTCGATTGAAAATAATAATAAATAATTAAAACTAGTTGTCCTTTGAAGAGAGAGATTTCCTGAACAGTTTGAGTTATAAAATAATTTTTAAATGTTTCTAAAACATTAAGTTGCACGTATATTCTTCTCGCAATTTAAGTGATCAAAGACTCGAGAAATGAGTTTTAAAAAATGTAGGTTTAAAACTTTTATTTTGTTTGATAATCTGGTAATATGCTAAATTTATATAATAAATAAATTAATCATCGGTACATTCCAGAAATCATTCGTTCAACTAGATACAGCACAACCCTTAGGGGATGCTCTTGAAGGTGTTAAACAAGGCGGATCTTTGTTGTATCATATCCATTTTAAGACTGAAACGATTCCAACACTGACTAAATTATGGTTTAACGATCGACAATTATGTCCGATACCTGGAGGTGTGTACCATATTTGTTAGATAGGTTATATAAATTCTATAAGTATATATTCGAAGGAACAAATGTAAAAGTTATCTATTCTTTCAAGTTACATTAAATTAGTTTATATTTAATACTTGATTAAGCCTAATTTTTTACCGGGACAACAAAGATAAATAAAGAGCTAACTTTCACTGCAATAACTAATAATTTCTCTTTAGTGTACACATTTTTCTTGATTATTTAAAAATATGTTTGTATGTGTCGGTCATCCTCGTGTTTTAGAGATTATTTTTTCCTCAAACAAGAATAAAATTCTGTCCTTATATTCTAAAAGACTGCGTAATTCAAGTGATAATTATATTTCAGAAACAGAACAAGTCGCAACTACTATCACGATATCAAAGAGAATATCCGTATCTGGTCCTATTTCGCCAGAGGAAGAGCCATCTTCGCTAAATGGTCAATCGCATAACAATCGTAGCATTAACAATAACCAGGGTTGGGTGAGTTTTCTTTTTTTTTACATTAAATTAAGTTAAAGTTAACAGCCTTTTGAAAATTTAATTTAGTTAAGATATAAGTTAATCCGTAATACAATTAATTGAATCAAAGGTTAAGTTAATAATAAAAAGAAATTAAAAAGTTAGAAGTTAAATTTGTTTTATTTTTACATAAAATCTCAGAGACTTTCGATCATGTAAATTGCATTGAATTTCGCGACTAGCGTTTGAACAATCACTACACGGAATATGGTCCATTTCACATGCAAACAATTTCATGTGGGTTCAAGAATCGAAACTCCATATAATGGCTGTGTTCCAAATTTATTACCAGCGCTGAAGATCTATAGTACACGTATACAGTAGATTTTAGAGCTGGCAGTGAATTTTGAAACACAGATACTATCAATATAGGCAGACACACGGCATCTCGCGACGCCTTTGTTTATGGCATAATTAATTTTAAAGCCCGGTTTTTCATTTTCTGATTAATTGTTAACCAGAGGTTAGTCGACTCTCTGTCTCTTTTCAGATAATAACACGGAAATCGATGCAGAGTCGACTAACTTTTGGTTAATGTTAACCACAAGTTAGTCGACTTTCTATCTTTCTTTATATTATTATCTAAAAAGAGTCAGAGAATTGATTAATCTCTGGTTAACAGTTGACAAGAAAATGAAAAACCGGACCTAAGACAGAGAGGTAAACTAAATATTAAAAGTTACAGATAAAATGTAACTAAATTCAGTTAAAAGTTAACAGTCTATAATGTAACCAAGTTAAGTTAAAATTATTTAATTTTTTAACTTAATTTTTATCTTTTTAACTAGACACTAGCCAACCCTGACAATAACCAATGTGGTAGAAGCAACACACATCTTCTGATCGCCTACGGATTACAGACAATACCAGGCCAATGGCCATGGGTGGTAGCAATTTTTGTTGAAAAGGAAAACCGTGAGTTTTTGTGTACTGGTTCCATTGTGACAAACAGACATGTTATAACAGGTATGTTATTAAAAAATTCAATGATTTTAGTATTTCTCCGCGAGTATACAATTATATGAAATTCTCCTACATCTGTTTCTTTGAATCTTTAGAACAAAACTTATTTATCGCAAGGTGGGATTCCATAAATCACCACAAATACCTGTATATACAATTTATCTATAATCGGGATATAATCGGGAAATACATGAAAATATTTGGAATCACTAGTCACTATTAAGCACTCTCATCATCATCTTTAATGATTCCATATTAAAGAATGTTCTGCACGATGCACGCAATACACAATATTTATAACAGCACGTGATGTGTTGTTTAGAAATTTTTACAACGTTCATCGTGATATCTTTAAAATGTCTTCTAGTTGGAGATCCACTTACTTAAAGCATTCAAAAAACATATGTTGAGATATAATATTTATTATTAATCGTGTTTTTTTGTTAATTTCGTGAAGACGTCCTATATATAACTATCCATTCAGTTAGTAACATTTTCAGACATTGTTAGAATATGTATCTGGAGAATATCGTTAAAATGTACTTATTATTTAGTTTCTATATATATTTTCTGAATGCAAAATATTAAAAAAATTTTTTTTAATGCATATATCTTCTTTTTACAGCGGCGCACTGCATACAATTAAACTTGATAAATTTATCTCCAAATGAGCTCTTAATAGTATTAGGACGATTTAATTTGAACCAATGGAATGAAGCAGGATCCGTGAATCGGACAGTCTCAAGTTACATGATCCATCCTGACTATATGCGCTCGCTCAGCAGGCTCAGCAGTGACTCTGATCTGGCAATTGTGACTCTAAAGACGCCCGTTGAGTTTAGCCCTTTAATTAGACCTATTTGCCTGTGGTCCCAATCGATCGATCTTCAGAACGTCGTAAATCAGATAGGATATGTTGTGGGATGGGGAAAAGATGAATCGGCCAATTATCTCGAAAACCCACGGATGGTGACAGCGTCGATAGTGAGCCACGTAAGCACTTTATTATATTATTATAAGAACTTTTGTCGATAGCAAGCTCGAGTTTTGCTCTCCGTGTCTCTCGCTGTTTAACCGATACGCGAGTTAAATTTCAGTGGTAGACAAAATTTTCTGAAAACAAAATATACGAAACACATGAAGGTACCTCGATGACGATCCGGAATATTTATATCGCGAGAGGGAAATGCTTAGAGACTTTTGTATGTCGTTAACGACGAGGCATGGCACTCCATTTGATTTTGCTACGTTTACATTTACATACCCAACAATACAATTTATAGCGTCTTTGTTATGTAAATGCTACATTTTTGTTTACTGGATAGTTAATTTTTATTATATGATAACAACGCCATAATAATAAGAACATTTGCTGCATATCTCTATGACAAATAGATTTGTCAAAGACATTACACACATCGAGTACAACAGGATCAATGAATGTGCCAATTGATAAGCGCGATCGTCGCTCACGCGAATTTTTGTGAACGTTTTCAAGGTAGCTCAATTCCGTCTAATTCCAAGATGCTAACGACATTGAGGAATCGTCAAATCGCTATTATGGAAACAAATATTGCAAATAATGGAGATTTGTTGATGAACGAGTTAGAGAAGATCGAATTACAGACTACCTGTCACTGGAGCAACCACTATTTCGCCTTACTCACATCGAACCGCACCTTTTGCGCCGGTTTTCGAAACTCCAGCGGTCCTTGCAAAGGTGATAGCGGGAGCGGGCTGGTGCTTTTCAACAATATCACAGGCCGTTATTACCTGCGCGGCCTCGTTTCGCAAGCGTTTGGTGATCTGATATCACCGTGTGATCTTCAGCAATACGTTGTCTATGTTGACGTGGCCCAATATGTACCTTGGATTGTACAGCAGATCTCCACCACGTAACGCTAGTCTCCTAACACCCTGTCTTGGCTTTTGCTTTTTTATTTATTCGTATCTACAATTTCACATTAGAGCCATATGACTTTATTAATTGCTTAATATAAATGTATATTATTAATTGCTGATGAAGAACTAGTTATTTATTAATTATAACGGTAATTTCTCCTTACATATATTTACTAGACAAGTGTTTAAATAGCATTTATTCAAAATCTTGCGAGAAGTGAAAATTAAGTGTAGGTACAAATTTTATATTATAAATATAAAGCATTATGAGAAGTATAAAAAATATTGCCGGCAACTCTGCTTATGTGATTATTAAATATATATTTAGCGAACTGCCAAGCCAACCGGAAACTACGGCGACTCCGCTTCCAGTGCCAACACTGAACACTAAACGCCCATCACACTCTACCATCGCTACTCCAATATTCGAAAGACCACATTATAATGAAATCGACTGCGGTCGGCCGACATTCCTCCCTTATCTACTGGATAAGGGAGGAATGTCGTCACATCCGGCACAATGGCCGTGGTTAGCGGCAATCTTCGTTCCAAGTGCAAACCCCCAGTACCGTTGTCCTGGCTCCCTTCTGACAACTAGACATGTTATAATAGGTACTTTAAAAAATCGAAGAATTAAACTTTATATTATTATTATCGGTAATTATGCATAAAAGGG